TAACGGTAGGAAGACCGCAACTTGAACGCTGGAAGCGATTTGCTGAGTGAAATTCAAAAGGTCTAAAGTTACCTGCAGTAGATGTCGTCAAGTTTGGCCACAATAGGAAGACATGTTCAAATTATCCTGTGCAAAACTAATGACTGTTTATTTTGTTGGTTATATTAATGTTTTGTTTTGATATGAAACATAATTGGTTTGAAGTGCACTATAGCTTAGTGTTTAATATACTGTTCATTCAGTAATCATACAGAATGCATACTGTTACAATAAAATTTATTCTAGTTTAAAGATATTGTATATATTAGTGATAATTATAAGAAGGTAGTTATGGAGTTCATTGGTATCCGAGTATTTAATGTAAGTTATCATGAATATTAATTTGGTTTTCAATTGGTGTCATATTATAAATAAAATTATAACAAACTGCATGCCAATTGTATTCATGTTTCATTCCAACTCTAGCTTAAGTTATGGTCATACACATATTAATCAAAATTTAATTCAGTTTTCATTCAAACAACATGTGTAGAACAGAAAATAATCAAATGTGAAAACACAATTCATAACATTTGTATATAAAAATCATATCACGATTCATACAATATCCAAGATTTAATATTAAAGTCATACTCATATACATATAAATTATATTTCATACACGTTTCATCCAATGAGTGTACAACTTAGAAACACACTGATACTTTAAAATAGTGTATCCTAAATGTATGAAGTCTGTATAATTCTGGTGTCCTGAAATTATAGTAGTCAAACATTATAACAAACTGCATGATATCATTTTTAGAAAAAACCACTAGTTTGACAATTGATATCATTTTCATACCAATTTAATCATTCATACCATATGAAGATTCAAAAGAGAATCAGACAAATGTGAAAACACAATTTATAACATTTGTATATAAAAATCATATCACGATTCATACAATATCCAACCCCTTATATTAAAATCATAGTCATATATGTATAAATTAGTTTTCATACACGTTTCATCCAATGAGTTTACTACTTAGAAACACAATGATACTTTAAAATAGTGAATCCAATTTGTATGAAGTCTGTATAATACCAATGTTCTGAAATTATAATAGCCAAATATTAATTCATGTGTAGATGGTATTTGTATAGAAGATAACATATGGTATTATATATCATAAAATACTTAAACAGAAAAAAATTATCCAAAAGTTTAAAAAAATAATATGTTATTCTTAAAAAGTAGAAGCTGCAATGAACTATTTCAAATTTCTTGTCGGTGGTCTTGGTGTAGGATAATTGGTGGTATCCGGAACATGTTATTTTGCTATGCGAGGTCCACCAAATTTGCTAGCAACCGTACCAGTAGTGATCGCTCCATCCTCATTCTTTGTTTTTTCATAATGCCACAGGATTGTGGCATACCTTTCACGATGGTACTTTGCATCGATTTCAACAGCTCCCATGTTGAAAACACCATTGTTGATAGTCCATATGTTTATACACAATTAAGATACAATAACATTAATGTTAATACATAATTCATATCATTTTATAGTCAAATCCATAAAACATTTTTTTCATAATTCGTACAAAATACTTCACCCAAATTTTATAGTCAAATCCATAAACATTTTTTTTTAGATTTGGAACAAATTTCACACAAACAACTGTTTTGAAAACAATAATAACAATAATGTGATATAAAAAATAACTATTTTGAGTAATGTGAAAATAAATTAAATAAAGTACTTACCCTTACAATTTTTTGGGGTTTTTGTATTTTGGTAATTCCGATTCCTTCTTCTTTGTTTTTCTTCTTGTAGATGGTTTTGATGTTTGAGCAACTTCAACATTTGTTGACTAACAAAATCGGAATCGGAATCAGAATCAGAATCAGGAGGGGTTTCAACAAGTGTTTTCCCCTTCCTCTTCTTCCCCTTTTGATTTGCTGGAATCGCACTTTCCTTTGCTTCATTATTTTTATCTTTTTGATTCTTCGATCGAGAGGAACCACCGGTCGCCGGAATTTCAACAGTTTTAGGCGGGGGTGTTTGGGATAATATATTGAACGATGGAGCATGAATATCATCAATTGAAGTTCCATCAAATCTGGGACTCTTTCGAGGAGTTTCAATGTGTTTCTTAAACATGATGATGAATAATCGTGGGGGAGGGGGCGGACTATTTTGAAGTTAGACTTGATGAGAAACAATGGTGAAAGTGGGATAGTGGGTTGTGGCATGTAGGAGTGAATAAGCGTGGGAGAGGGGGGTGGGATTGACGAATGGGGATGGTAACGGTAAACAAGGAAAGAAAACGTTTATGGAGAAAATGCCTAAAATTGGGTAACTGAAAATTTTAGTTCTAAAAAAAGGAAGTGAAATCAAATTAATTACCTATTATTAATTAATAATAAAAACCTTTAAATAGATTAATAATTTATTAAATAAATATACTTTGATATTAAAATTAAATTAAATTTAATTGATATGTCATAACCCGTAAATAATTTGTTATAAGCAAAAAAAATTTAAAAGTAGATTTAAAACCCGTAATATTTACTCTTAAATGTGTATATGAAGTGATTTTTCCTTATGTTAATGCAACACCCCCAAATATTTTTTTCAAAAATTATAATCAAACCTAACGCCATTTTTATTCTCTAAGTTCATCTTTTAGGGATAGTATATATATGGTAAACAATTGAAGTGGAATTATTAAGTATCTGATCGATCGATGATGTTTTTATGTCTAGATTATAATCCATGGATTATTCCCTACTTAAGTTTATTAATTTCACTCCCATTTAAAGGTAAATTAAAAAAAATGTATGTAGTGCTAGAACGAAAATGAAATTGCATATATATAAATTCCAATCCAAGCTAGAGTGGAATCAAAAGGAATCCCTTGATCACCTAATGCTTAAGTACCGAGTCCGGCACTCAAAGGGCACATTTTTTAGCGCAATGCATCAGATGGATTGTTGGCCACCTTTGTGGCAAACCCCAATTATCACGTTGAGATAAAATAATCTTACATTTTATTTCGAAATTATTATCTATTATGCTTCGTACCGATCCATTCCTACTCCTTTAATTTAGGGATAGTGTCTTGACAGGAGAATTTCTAAATGAATATCAAAGCAAGTATACCTCAGAAACCTACCAATCTTTTTACACACTGATCAGACTGAGTACTATAGCCCCCACCCCCCTCATTAAATTCCAAAATACCAACTAACATGATTTGACGTTACAGATTCTGCAGCTTAAAGCCAACACCTTTTTTTAAAATAAAAATAATAATAAAAAAAGGGAAAAACGCCTAATATATTCCTCAATTAAAAGCATATAGATGAGTCGAATCAAACTTTTAGTGAATGACATAAATAACTATTTTTCTTAAAAAAATATGATATTAAAGAGAAAACTTCCAACTAGAATTTTTTTTTTCACCACTCATAAGTCACAACCAGTATCTTTTTGAGAGATTTGATTCACTAGCTCAATTTATTTTTAATTTTATGTCTTTTATAATGAAAAGGTTGATTTTATTGTATTAAATTTATAAATAATCGTAAAGAATAGTACAAATAAATCGAAACAGAAAAATAGTAATTGACACTAAAAGAAATTGCAACTTAAAAGATGATCAAATTATTGATAAAGAAAGGCCAAAAAGAAATAATTAAAGGTGAGTTGAGGGTTCCATGATTGTGTTGTGTCCACTCTTGTCAAAAGTCATTGATACTTTATAGTACGTGGTCTTTTCATTTCTTGAATGCTTAAAGCACATAAATCTTGGTAGCTATCTGCTAGGTTATACAATATAGTAATAATAATAATAATGATACTAATGAAAATAAAGCTAGGGTTATAATTTATATATATTTCTGCAGCCGTGACTTGAGTATGTCTTTTGCGTTAAAAACATTTTACTTGGTCTACTCTATTCTTTGGCTCAGAAATATTATTTTTGAAATAGGAGATTTAAATAATTCTCCCCCGTTTAATATCAATAAGTGAGGTCAAGGAAGAGTAGAGTGTACGCATATCTTATCACTATCTCGAGCAGGTAGTGAAGCTATTTCCAAAAGACTCTCGGCTCAAGAGCATCAAATCCAATTGAGAAGAAGAAGAAGAAAACACAAAGAAATCATAACCGTTAATAGGGTATATATATATATATATATATATATATATATTTTGTATGATACTAATGAAAATAAAGCTAGGGTTATAATTTATATATATTTCTGCAGCCGTGACTTGAGTATGTCTTTTGCGTTAAAAACATTTTACTTGGTCTACTCTATTCTTTGGCTCAGAAATATTATTTTTGAAATAGGAGATTTAAATAATTCTCCCCCGTTTAATATCAATAAGTGAGGTCAAGGAAGAGTAGAGTGTACGCATATCTTATCACTATCTCGAGCAGGTAGTGAAGCTATTTCCAAAAGACTCTCGGCTCAAGAGCATCAAATCCAATTGAGAAGAAGAAGAAGAAAACACAAAGAAATCATAACCGTTAATAGGGTATATATATATATATATATATATATATATATATATATATATATATATATATATATATATATATATATATATATATATATATATATATATATATATATATATATATATATATATATATATATATATATATATATATATATATATATATATATATATATATATATATATATATATATATATATATATATATATATATATATATATATATATATATATATATATATATATATATATATATATATATATATATATATATATATATATATATATATATATATATATATATATATATATATATATATATATATATATATATATATATATATATATATATATATATATATATATATATATATATATATATATATATATATATATATATATATATATATATATATATATATATATATATATATATATATATATATATATATATATATATATATATATATATATATATATATATATATATATATATATATATATATATATATATATATATATATATATATATATATATATATATATATATATATATATATATATATATATATATATATATATATATATATATATATATATATATATATATATATATTATGTTAAACTCCATTAATGAATTAGTGATCCTTGGAATAGAGAAAGACATAAAGACGTAATGAGATATTCCAAAAATGGTGTAATTAGTTATCGTAACTGAATTTAGAATATGGTATTTATTGATACCTTAAATGGTAAGTAATGGCGTGCATGACTTTTGCTGAGACAAAACCAAATTGGTTTAAAGCTGGTGCAACGCCATACAAGTTTTATATTAATTAGTTTAGCAGAGCCATCAAATTCGGTGTTTATTTGGTCCCATCCCTTCATTTCTCAGATCAAATTTCGAATCTGATTTGACTCTGACTCATGAATATCATGAACTGTTACTATCAACACCCTCTCTCTTATCTTTTTTCTTTTTCCATCTGGTGTCTGGTATCCATATTAGAGCTCGATTAAATTTGGATTTACGTCGAAAAGTAGAACGCTTCCAAACGAACGCGACTCCATATCCAAAGGAGAGCTCTTGATTAAGAATGAAGGAGTATTTACCACTCTACTACATTCCTTGTTGGTACCCTCTCTCTTTTCATGTGTGTGTCTCTAATCACCTGATTGAAATTTCTCTATTCTTAGTAAGAAATCTCAAGTTTAAGCTTTAAAATTTGAAAATTAAATATTTCCCCTATAGTAGGCCAGTTAGGGATGTTCGTGGTTTGAATTTGGGGTAAAATCAAAACCAAATTAATTTAAATATTTTTTAATTATTAAAATCAAATCAAATATAATTTGTATCCATTGAGTTTGGTTATTGTTGGTCTAGTTCGGTGTAAAGAAACTGATATTTCTTTCTTTTATTTTTTCCCCTTATAATCAGGAAAAGAAATCCATCATTTTCCAACTTGTAATCTATCATTAACTTTTTTTTGTGGTGGATACAATTTTCTTGAATTATAGAGGAATCTCTTAATAGATGTAAGCTTTAATCAAGTGTATAAAGATGATAAGAAACATATAAATCTGGTTGTTAGTTTCTTTTCATAAATGAATTTAAGGGGTAATGCTTATTAACGATAAACGAAATTCTCATTAAAAAGTATAATATATATATATTATGAAATTTATGGATATAACTTATCGATTTGGTTCAATTTTTTATTCAATTTGTTTTAATAAAACCAAACTAAAGCAAATCTTATCGATATTTTAAAACTTAAATGCAAGCCTAACCAAATTAAATCAAAACTAAACAAATATCAATTTATTTAATTAATTAAATTTAATTTTCTATTTGAATCGATTTTACCCAAATTATGAACACCTAGTTGGCTAATTACTCGAACCTTTGGCGTTTGAATACCATATGACTGAAAAGTCCCCCAAAAAATTTAAAGCCAGCCTTGATATACTGACCACGTTAAGAATAAATACTCAGAATCAAGTTATTTATAAGATAACTATTAATAAATCTCTATGATAAATATTAATATTGAGTAATTGAAAACTAACATGTATCACATCACGTCCTAGTTCAATTAACATTCTTAATTTAGATTAGGGGCGGAGACAAATAGGTGCAAGGGAGTAATAAACTAATAATAATAATCAACAAGCGTATATTATTGGAGTAAACATAGTTAATAGTTACAACTTATAATACGAATAAAAAAACAAGGAATCCAAGGCCCTAAAAGGGATGATGCTGAAAGAGCTAAAAACAGTTTATTAGTTTGGAGAGATTAATATAATATATATAATATATCTCACCTATATAATCATATAATATATATATATTATATTTGTGATCATAATATAGCTAGATCATATTATTTATTATTTAATTAATATAGACCAATGGTTTTCTGAGGACCCTCTCCTGCAACAGCATGATCCAATTTATTGGTTTGTTTGTTGCCATCCAGCTTGAGTCCAAAGTGGATATGAGGGAAATGTGCCCACTGCAAAAACATACAGTAAAATATCAAAAAAGGTAATTAAATTTTTCACATAAATATAAAGTTATTTAGTCACACTATTCTATTTAGTGCCTCTTCTGTTTATTTGCCCCTACCATACCATTTCGCCCATAAAATTACTAGTCAGACTAAAACTCAGAAAAATGACTTCTCTACTGATATCTTGCATATGTATAGAATCCCAATAAAATAAGTAAACAATCTATTTATTTTTAAAAAAAATATTTTTCTTTGTATCAAACACACTCTACATCGATCCTGTCCTTCATGTATTTATTAATATACAGTTTTGATATATTTAGATTTAATTGCATTTTTCATTTCGTTCTAATTTCTTCATTTATGGCTCAGCCTACATAGCAAAAGTTATTTTGAGCTGAAATAATTATTTTCAATTCTCATGTAGCATGAAAATCTCTATTGTTTTAAAAATGTATGTAATATATAGCTTACATTTTTGGCAGCAGTGCTAAAAGCTTCTCTGTGGCTAATATCAGGATTGCTTGCCTTTATCCTTTGGATCTCCTCCCTACACATTGAATTAATTAACAACATCATAGATATATATATCTAATTCACACATTTCTTAATTTAATGTATATGCTACTTAAAATTATATTATTTTTACTTACTTGATAAATCTATTGTAGGCAGAAGGTACACGTTGTCTTTTCTCCGGTGCTGCAAAGTTTTCAACAAACATTTGAACATATAATTATAACATTTTGAAAGTCGAAACCGTTGTAGGAAGGCAAGGAGGAGCACGTAGGAATATCAATTACTATATATATGAGCCACTAGCTAGGGGCTGAGAGAAAGCGAGCAACACTTTTTTTATAATGGATTGGATGGAACTTAAAGAAACAAACCCCTATTAGAGAAGAGTCATTGTGCGTTAGCTAGCCAACTTTTTTCAGCTAGCTGTGTTATGCCATTATATATAATAAATTATGAATTCGCCTTTAGAGAGTTAGATGATGTTTGTTAGAAAGGTTATGATAACATTAGTTTGTTATTTCCAACTGACATAATTTTACTGTATGATCATGAAAATCATGATATTTTATGCACTATAAGGTATGGGTAAATTTAGGTAAAACAAGGTTACAATTGATGATATATATTTGTCATGTGCTAGAATATACATTTGTCCCTAATTTGGTTGTGTAGTTTTTTTTTAAAGAATTTATTATGTTTTGGACCATTTAACTCACTGTCTCGATCAAGATTTTGGATTGGTGATTGGATGGTCAGAATTTAATTTTTGTCAAAGTGTTAGTGCCCAAGAGTTTAGAGATGTTTTAACTAACATAAGTACTCATATTCTTCTTACTAGCGTGGGTTACGATGAATGATTGTGATTCATCCATTTTTAACTAGAGATCTCAGATTAATTTAAAAACCTAATTTAATCTCACATCAAAATGTATTTATCATGTGTTGAAATACATATTTTTTTTGGTTTAGACACCTATAAACATTTCAGGAGAAATCGAACTCATAACCTAAAACATTTTTTTGACCCCTCTATCACTAGAGGGGAAATCTATTCTTGTATTAAATGAGATTCAATAGCTAATACATACGCATAAAATAAAATTAAAAAATCTATTCACATTGTATAGTTTTCTCAATGTATAGCTGAAAATCTTTTTTTAATTTAACCATTTTGGCACCTGAAATTAATTAAGAGCGGACTGATTACTTAGCTAGCTTTAAGAAGAGTTTATTTCAACTTGATATAAGTAAAGAGACGCAAGGAGAATTGAATCCCCTTCGCGGAAAATTGTATTATGTCAAATAAGATAATTCCTTGACACAAGCGAAGATTCTAGTATAATGGCAAAGGTGGTTCAAAAGTTGTTATACTTTTTGGTTATAGTTTCAAATCCTAGGTGTGACACACTAGTATTTTTTTAAGAAATCATTTTTTATTCCAAGAAAGGACCTAAGAGAAAAAGGGTGCAGCAAGGAATTCAGAAGTACTTACCCTATGTTTCAAGATACTGGTATTACATATGAGTTGGGTACAAGTGTAATGTCACAATCAACTGATGGATTGTACACAATTGGACCCAGCTAATAATGAGATGGTACACAATTGCTCTTCTTTGGTTGAAGAGGTTCAAAATCACTAGTATCAAAGAACTCAACTTGTTTTCAAACCATTCTAGTAGTTAGGTAATAATTTAAAAAGAATCAGACACGCATGTGACATAGGTATGTATGTTCTTCATGAAGTCCCTCTTTTAAATTTTTAAAAAAGAGAGTGCGAACATAAAATTAATATCTCATAGTGAACAAGTAATTAGAGAAAGGGAGAGAGCGCTTACGGCGAATAGGAGGGGATCTAGGTTGATCATGATCAGTAGGAATGGGAGAAAATCTGTGAAATGAATTTGTAGAAGAGGATGATGACCCATAACCTCTACTCATCCCATCTTCAATACTTGACTCATTTTGTCTCTGCTAATTCAACATAATAACACATTATACACTATACAATTACATATAGTTTGCATATACCAATTAGTATATATATATATATATATATATATATATATATATATATATATATATATATATATATATATATATATATATATATATATATATATATATATATATATATATATATATATATATATATATATATATATATATATATATATATATATATATATATATATATATATATATATATATATATATATATATATATATATATATATATATATATATATATATATATATATATATATATATATATATATATATATATATATATATATATATATATATATATATATATATATATATATATATATATATATATATATATATATATATATATATATATATATATATATATATATATATATATATATATATATATATATATATATATATATATATATATATATATATATATATATATATATATATATATATATATATATATATATATATATATATATATATATATATATATATATATATATATATATATATATATATATATATATATATATATATATATATATATATATATATATATATATATATATATATATATATATATATATATATATATATATATATATATATATATATATATATATATATATATATATATATATATATATATATATATATATATATATATATATATATATATATATATATATATATATATATATATATATATATATATATATATATATATATATATATATATATATATATATATATATATATATATATATATATATATATATATATATATATATATATATATATATATATATATATATATATATATATATATATATATATATATATATATATATATATATATATATATATATATATATATATATATATATATATATATATATATATATATATATATATATATGAAAGTCTCTGTTAAGTTGTGTGATTATTTCATCTAAAATTTTATATTATGTCTCAACGACATAGACTCTCTAAGGTATTAGAAATAAAGAATTTGAAATTGAACTAAGTATTTCCACATATTCTTGTAAGACTTAACTAAATAAGTACAAGGCAAACACTAAAAAGATTCTAGAATAACTAAATACTCCCTCCGTTTCAAATCATTGTCATATTTTTCTTTTTAGTCCAATTTATAAAGAGTGCCTCTTTCCTTTCGCATATTTAAGACCATAAGACTAAACGGCATCTTGGTACATTTGAAATATTTTTAATTTAAGATCACAAGAATCGAATTGAAACGAAGAGAGTAAAATATACCTGTAAATCTTGAATGGGGAGAGACTGAAGGGAAGGTGCAATATTAACAGAAAGCAAATTTGCGCAGTGTCCACACCTTACTGTCACTATTGTCATCATACTGTTGCATGGAATGCTAACCTGACATACAACAACAACAATAGAAACAAAATTGAGTAATTAATTTACTATTTTATTGACAAACATAACATCATACAAGTGCTCACTTTTGTCCAGAAAATTAAAAAAAAAAAATGCATAATCCTTATAGAGTACTTATTAATTTGTGCCTAACGAGATTTCACTATTTGCAGTTGCAAGATTTGGCAAATTGAAACATACATTCTATGTACTTGGACTTAATAGTTAGCAATAGGTTTATAGTAATGATTGAATCTATTACTACCTCGTCCATTCAGTATAACAGAGTAAATTAATGATGGTATAACAATATCAAATAGGAAGGTGACAATCTCAATCTAATGGCATAGCCGGATTGTAGTTAGCGAATTCAAGAATATATAACACATATGATAAGATTCAAACTTGCGATCTAAAATAAAATTTTAAGCATACTAAGCTCCCCAAGTGAGTTACCCCTCAACTCCAATTTATGTGTTTTATAAACGAAAATTCATTTTTTTTTCTTAGTGAAACTTCTTTATACCAAGAGGTCTTGGGTTCAAGCCTCCTTGGGTACAAAGTCGCCTTTGTTAGGAAACGCTTTACCCCAATGTGAGACTTCCTGTGTGAATCCAAATTTTGCCGGGCTCCAATGTAAGACACCGGATGGAAAACCAAAAAGAAAACATCCAAAACTTATTTTTCACACATTTTTAAAGTTGATTTTTCATATGGTCAATCAACTATTTTATTATTGAATAAACTTAAAATCAAGAAAAAAGTGATTTCTCGAAATACATAAATATTAGTTGAGTGCTCATGTAAGAAAACAAACCCGAAATTACTATAAGGAGTTTCCTTTAAAGTAGGCTCTTGGACTCATCTCTTTTCTTTTCCTTTTCTTTCGGTGCTCTCTCATCGACTTTTTCTGACCATTTACTCAGTCACCAGAAAAGTGAGTAAACTAGGAAAATGACATGACCACAACAAAAATCATGAAATACACATAATCAGAAAATATATTTAAAATAATTTATATTAGTAAAAAAAGTAATTAAATATGTGATATCCAAAGTAAATATTTTTTCTGATGTAAAACTCTAGCATCATCAATTTCATTTTGTCTCTTCAAATCAAGCAACGTAACTACATTTTCATAAATGGATGAAAAAGATATATAATGATTTAAAAAAATGTTAGTAATAATATCAAAGAATGGTCAAAATGAGGAGGAAAATAAATTAAAGAAAAATATATCTTATTGTAAGAGGATTATCTTTTTATTATCCAGTGGACAAATGCATACTCCAATTTTTATTTTCATGAAAAAGAATTTGATTGTTTCAAGAATTAGTACAATTATTTATGATCAGCGTGTGCAGTATAGTACGAACTACGAACCTGATGAGGAAAAAGAGGATCGATCAATTAATTGGTAAGAGAATTAAAAACAAAATGATAACCAAATTATGAGGAATATAAATAACGAGCTTGTTAAATCGTGACAATTAATTAATTAATTAAATCCTTAAAAAACTATTCACAAGAAACCCTAGTCCTATATTTTATATATAGAGATCTAGTCATATAGAGTATATGAAATTAAATATTTAGCTTGTTTCTAGTCAAACTAGCTAGTACAATATATTTTTTTGTCTAGCGACTTGTTAGATAGGGTTTGGGAACCAATTAACTGGATCTCAACTCAATTTATATTTCCTTCCATTAACCTTCAAAAAAACAAGCAAGGAAAAGAAGAATAAAAGAGAAAATAATGAAAGATTGTTTTCAATTATTTGAAAATTAGCATAAAATATGAAAATATTATAACACTTTGAAGCAAGATTTCTCCAATTACATCATATCTTTGAGTCAATTTCTCGCTTAACTAATAGTTATCATCTTAGGAAAGAAGTCATCTTTCTTCTTGATTTTAATTTTTTTCAATTAAAAAAATGACTTTTTGAAATAATAATTATTAGTTGAGAGACCGTAGAAGAAATCATCTCCACATATTTCTAACCCTTGTCGCTTATACTAAAAAAGGAAGAGTTCATTTTAACAAGATTTTGTTGAATTTCAAAAGATTTGCTTTCAAAAAATCCAAACAAAATTGGAACAAGTAAACTTTAATTTGAACTTGTACTCATCATCATATTATATTTTTTAAAAATGAACTTCTTCTTCTAATGATTCGATCTAAAATTATTTGCCAACATGCATTTCAAAACTAGCAAAAAGGGTTTCAAATCAAATTAAATTAAAGAAGTGTACCGCAAGAATTGTGCTGCAGAAGTTGCAATGAACATAGCAAACACGTTCTGAGGAAGATGAATATGTCATGTCAAGTGACATTTCTTATAAGTTTTTTTTTCTTTTTAACTCAGAAAATACGGATCGAAGAATTAAGAGGCGGATCAAGGACGAGCTCTGAAGTAAAAGGATAAGTCAAAATCAAGAAATATGTGTAATGTTCATCATGTTATGAAATACTAGTAGCTAGGAAGAGAGTTGAAAAGACCTAGCTACAAAAGATGGGGAAAAAAGGGGGAAGAAAAGGCTAGTAAAGGGGGAGATGATAAATAAGGTATGAGGTTTTGAGAGATGAATGAAAGAAAGAGTACAAAACAAACACATATTAGAGGTGAAGAGATTGATGGGATTGGAATGGTTTGGTCTGGTCGGTATAGGGGCAAAGGGGGGTGGGGGT